ATTCATCCGAAAAATCCGCTAGATTTGTACGAAAATTGCTCTTGTACTGACCGATAAATTGTCTAGAATTGATCAACAAATCCTCTAGATTTGCCTTTATATTTGATCGACAAATCTTCTAGGCTTGTCCGACAAATCCTTTAGATTTGTCTGATAGATATGCCCGACCAATCCTCTAGATTAACCCGATAAAGCTTCTAGATTTGCCCCACAAATCCTCTTCATTTGACCAACAAATTATCCAGATTTGACCAACAAATGATTGTACTGACAAATGCTCTAGATTCGACGATAAATCCGATAGACTTGATCGAAAAATCCTTAAGATATGAGCGACAAATATTCTAGATATGTCCGGAAATCCTCTGGATTTACTAATTAATAGATTTATCCGAAGAACCGTCTAGATTCATCCGATAAATCTTCTTTATTTGTCCGAAAAATTCTCTAAATTTGACCAACAAATCCTCTAGATTTGATCGACAAATTCTCTAGATTGATCCAACATCTTGATTTGCCGATTTGATAGAAAACATATTTAGATTTGATCTGCACATTTTAATAAATGCTCTGGATTTGTCCGATAAATTTTATATATTTGTCCGCAAATCTCTTAGATTTGCCGATAAAACTTTTAGATGTGCAATAAATCTTCTAGATTTATCTAAAAAATCTTCTAGATTCATCCGATAAATATTCAGATTTGTCCGATAATTGCTCTAGATTTAACCAAAAAATCCTCTAAATTTGACCAACAAATCCTCTAGATTTGAAAGAGATGAACCAGCCTCTGGCTGAAAGTCTCGCTAACAAAGATAACCTAACATAACCTCTAGATTTGACCAACAAATCCTCTAGATTTGTCCAACAAATCCTCTAGATTGTACTCGACAAAATCTCAGCATTTGTCCGACAGATTTGACCAACAATTGCTCTATATTTGACCGACAAATCCTTTAGATTGGACAGATAATTGTTCTGGATTTGTTCGACAAATCTTCTAGATTGATCCGAGAAATCCTCTTGACCGGACCGACAAATCCGCCATATTTGACAGATAAATTATTTTGATTTGACCGACAAATTCGGAAAAATACTCTGGATTTATCCGACAAATGTTCTGTTCGACAAATCTTTAGATTTATCCGAAAAATCTTCTAGATTGAATCAATAAATCCTCTAGGTTCATCCGACAAATTCTCTAGATTTGACCGACATCTGGATTTGTTGATCAAATCATCTAGTCTTATCCGACAAATCCTTTAGATTTGACCGATTAGCCCTCTAGATATGCCCGACAAATCCTCTAGATTTGTTTTCCGTACTGAGTACCAATGCTACCAACACCAGGGAGGCAGCTCTCACACCTGGACTCTACCATCGACTAATCAACTCATGGACCGGGGACTAACGGCTTTACTTTCCTTCCGCAGGAAGCCGTGATCAAATATTTTATGGCGCAGAAAATCTCGAATTAAACCCAGGCCCTTTGGAGTGAAAGGCAATCACGCTTACCACTACACCACCGGCACCGCTCTCTAGATTTACACGATAAAGCTTCTAAAATTTGTCCAACAAATCTTCTTCATTTGACCAACAAATGATCTAGATTTGATCGTTAAATGATCTAGATTGTACTGACAAATGCTGTAGATTTTAGTGACTTATATTTTGGATTTTTCTGAAAAATTGTCTTCTAGATTTATCCGAAAAATCTTATAAATTCGTCCGATAGATCTTCTAGATTTATTTTTTAAATCCTCTAGATTTGACCAGCAAATCCTTTTCATTACTGACAAATCTTCGAGATTTGACCATCAAATCCTCTGTATTTATCAGACAAATTCTCTAGATTTATCCGAAAACTCTAGATTTGTCTGAAGATTCTCTAGATTTATCCGACAATTCTTGATTTATCAGACAACTCTAGATTTTCAGACAAATTCCTTAGATTTTCCCGACAAATCCTCTAGATTTGACCAACAAATGCTCTAGATTTGTCCGACAGATCATCTAGATTATTTAAATTTAACTCTCGATTTGTCCAATTAATTTTGTAGATATGTCCGAGGGGGGCGACACATCAAAATCTCAATTCTAGATGCTCAAAAAATCTCACACTAGCGAATCAATCCTCGAAAAATCATCTTTCATTGCTCGCATATACTTGCATCGCGCTTCATATTTTTGCAGGAAATCTTCAAAATCGACATAAATCTTCCTTCTATCTACTCAGCGTGCGTGCAGCTAGACACAGCAAAACACAATCTTTTCTGCATCGTCCCCCTCGGATATGTCCAATAAATCTTCTAGATTTGTCCGACAAATCATTTTGATTTGCCGATAAATCTCTAGATTTGACCAAAGATACTCATTTCTCTAGATTTATACTACAACTCTAGATATGTCCGACAAATCTATATATGTCCGACAAATCTAGATTCGTCCGACAAATGCTCTAGATTTGTTCGAAAAATGCTCTTGATTTGATGGAAAATCCGTTAGATTTGACCAACAAATCCTCTAGATTTAATCAACTAATTCTCTTGATTTGTCTGACAAATTATTTAGATTGAATCCTTTAGAGTCCTTAAGATTTAACTGACAAATATTCCAACATACACTCTTAAAAATATCTATTCTTACACGTGATGGAATCCATCTTTGACACAAAGGATGAGACGTAAATAAACATGTTATGTAAAATTAAGTGCTCCGAGACTGAAAAGTTCGAAAGTACGTTTGGTTGAGCTGAATTTCGCGTCTATTATGACTCAATGTCAATGTCAATTATCTAGATTTGACCAACAAATGCTCTAGATTTGACCAAATAATCCTCTAGATTTAACCGTCAACTCCGCTAGATGTAACCGACAAATATTCTGAGTTTTTCCGAGAAATCTTCTAGATTTATTCGAAAAATATTTTAAATTTATCCGATAAATCCTCTAGATTTGTCTGACAAATGCTCTACATTTGTTCGAAAAATGCTCATGATTTGACCGAACATCCGTTAGATTTGACCAACAAATCCTCTAGATTTAATCAACAAATTCTCTAGATTTGTCAATAAATTCTCTATATTTGTCCGACAACTCAAGATTTGTTCGATAGATCCTTAAGATTTTTTCGGGCAGTCATTGATTCGTCCGACAAATCATCTAGATATGATCCACAATTGCTCTAGATTTGTCCGACAAATATTCTGGATGCATCCGTCAAACTTTCAAGACTGTTCCGAAAAATCATCTAGGTTTGACCGATAAATCCTCTCGATTTAATCAAAATATTATCTTGATTTGACCAACTAATGCTCTATATTCGAACAACAAATCTTCTAGATTTGACAGAGAAACGTTCGGGATTTGTTCGACAAATCTTCTAGATTGTTTGAAAAATCTTTTAGATTCATCCGATAAATCTTCTAGATTTGACCGACAAATCCTCTAGATTTGTCCGACAAATTGTCTTGATTAGTTCAGCAATTTCTCTTGATTTGTCTACCAATGCATAAGGTATAGGAAATATGTGACGACAGGAAAAAGGGAGATTGAAAATCTTCTTCTGCATTTAACAGAAGTTTTAGTAATGTTTTTGAATGTTATTTGAAAACAGATAATATTTCTTTAATGGAAAAGGTATATTTTACTGTATCAGTATCGCTCTAATTTAAATTGTTTCTCTAAATTTCCTTACCGATAATCATAGTATGAAGAGTCCCTGCTTTCTTTTTTTTCAAATCTGGTCAGGTTGGTCTTACAGTTTTCGTTAAATCAGGACAGGTTATTCCTACATACCCTCAAAAATACAGCATCAATCCTAGCAAGTTTCGATCTTCGCAGAGGTTCTCGTCCTGTAGAGAGAAGCTTTTTGTAATTCTTCTCGGCACACTTTTTCCTCTATTGTTTCGCTGTTTTATAGGTTTTCCGCAATGTACTTCCCCACGCAATCTCACCGGATAGCTAGTATTACTAAGATTGATTTATTTTGTTTTTTGAATGACAAATTTCGGCAACTAATCAGTAGTGTTTTAGTACAAATTTGCGTTTGTTTCATGCAAAATGCGTTCAGTTTAATTAAAAAGTTATCATTGCATATAAAGCACCGCATTAAAGTGCTGAACTCCACTGAATTAAAGCTAAAAGTGCATTTTCCTTTCTTTCCATCCACCATCTTCACCTCCTCATCCGCCTCTCTCTCGCTCTCGTTAATCCTCTTTTCACAGTAGGCGCTGCCCAAAGTGTTTATTTGACGTTTATTTCGCCCATCTTCTGCAGCATTAGTGATGATCTTCTTCACGCTCGCCATCGTCATCATCATCATCATCATCATCATCATTAAAAAAAAAATTAAAGCATCAACCACCCAAAAAAAAAGCGCTACCCGCACCCCAGAGCAGTAGTGATGCAATCACACGGCTTTCTCTTTCACTCGTCTCAACCCACCGACCGCCGTCTTATTTTTCACCATTTCCACTCGTAACGATGTGTGTTTGCTCGGTTTGTTGTGTACCTATTTTGTTCGTCTGTTACTGGCACCGATTTTTCATTCCTATCCATATATGACTTACTAGATGCTCGCGGAAAAATCACTGACACGGGGCGCGCCCAAAAAACCAACCGCACCATGACGACACATCTTCATCATCCATCATCATCAACAGCAACCAACCTACCCAAGACCTAGCCTACTGTGCATATACATGGCGACCGTGACGATTGGCAAACGCTCTCAGCAAGCGTTGCGTTGCGTCTTTGTCGCCATTGTTGCCGTACTGATCCGTATCAATTTTCATATTTCATATGCTCATCCAACCAACACGCTCACTACGCTCTCTATATACATATGCTCGCTAAGCGCCGATGTGTTGATGTGTCCACCTTATGTAACCACCAAAACAAAAACAAAAATCGCACTAAAATTCACACCGCCCCATGGAGAATATCGGTGTTTTTATTTTCATTAATTCACCGTTTTTTTTTCCTATCCCCATTTTGCAGCCACAGTGCCAAATCGAAAGCGTTGGCCCACTTCCGGGACTCGCCGGCGGATCCCTCGATGCCGGTGCTGCGCGAGGGTGAACTCAACGTCAAGGTGACGCTCATTGATGGCAAGCGTTCGCAGGATCGCAGCTGGCGAACGGTTCATGCCGAGCTCCGGGGCAGCCGGCTCAAGTTGACGTTGCTGCGCGACGGGAAGGCTTCCAGTCAGGTGGGTGTATTTTTTTTTACTGTGATTGATTTGTTGTTGTTGTTGTAATCGGAGCATCCGGGGTGGAGCGGTTCCAATCGTCAAGGCTATCGGTTAGGGAAGGGAAACTACTGTCACAAGATTGGCCGCAGCCGATGACAACATCCCTGACCATGGACCAGTCAAATGTTGGAGCTTTTTCTTGAGACAAACGACCGCAATTAGGACCATATTTAAGAGCAACCTAGACGAACCGTCTCCGGCGGCAGCGTTGGCCCCGAAATTGATTCGAGTAAATCGTGATCAATCAAGTTTAATAATCGAAGCCAATTTGCCTGTGAGAGCGCTGGTGGCGCTAGTTTCAGAGACGTTGTTAGTTTCAGGTCTAGTAGGGGCAACCTCGAGTACAGTTGATTCTTATGAATATTTGTTGGAATGTTAAACCCCAGATTGAATGGTCGGTCATATTCTGACAAAAAGGTAAAAATTATTACTCGGAACCGGAAACTGATTCATCCGGATGGTGTATGATCAGTATGATCAGAATACATTCTTAAGGGATCTTAGGCTCATCACAATCATTATCGTGAAAAATTTGTTTCATAGATCAAAATTCCCTTTCGTACCTAATAAGATTTTTGAGAAGAGAATTCGTCATGCATGGATTTGAAGAATTAATTTGCAACCGGAGAATCCCTCGTGCTATCAATTTTAGCACTACCTGCTTTTCCTTCGTTTTTAGAAATTGGCAACACATCAGCTTTGTGTAGAAATCTAAATAAACTGAAAATTAGGAGTTATCGTCTGCACTCTTCGTGCATCTCCAGCTCTATTTGAGTACAATCCGAACTCACATTTGCGTTCTTTCTTAGATCTACGATGTAAATAAAAACAAAAATAGAAACTAGATGGCTAGCAGATCGCTAATTTTACTCTCACAGCGCTTGTTAATTTGTCCGACTAATTCTCTTGATTTATGCGAAAAATAATATCTATCTAGAAACCATCCAACAACCAGTGTGGTTAACTTTTCACGAAGTTCGATCCCAAGATAGATAAATTGGTATTCACTGCGTTATGTGACAAGTGGAGAGTGAATCAATGTTTTAGAATACGCAGAATTTCTTCGGCACATATAAGGAAAATCCGTAGAATTTTATGGTCGATCCGTAGATCCGTAGTAAATTTGAGTCTGACCAGCCTTCAAGTCGAAATTCCTCTTGATTTATCCGACACACTATTTAGACTCCTCCAGAGACACATTTCCATTTGCATGACAAATCCTATTGATTCGTCCCATAAGCTATTTTGACTTCTAGCTTTGTTAGACAAAGCTAAAGGATTTCTTGGTAAAATCTAAAGTATTTGTTGGTCAAATCTAGAGGATTTGACAGTCAAATTTAGAATATTTGTCGGACAAATCTAGAAGATTTATCGTACAAATCTGGAAAATTTATCGGATAAATCAAGAGCATTTTTCTGAATTTGTCGGTCAAATCTAGATTTGTGGTCAAATCTGGAGGATTTGCCGGTACAATCCAGAGTAATTATCGGATAAGTATAGAAGACATATCGGATGAATCTAAAAGAGTTTTCGGATAAATCTAGAGGCAAATCTAGAAGATTTATCTGAAAATTCTAAAAGATTTTTCAGAATTTGTTAGAAGATTTATTCGATAAATCTGGATTTGACCGACAAATCTGAAAAAAGCTCTATATTTGTCCGATAAAACTTACAGATTTTCCGATACATCTTCTAGATTTGTACGAAAAAAAATTGAGATTCGTTGGGCAAACAATCCATATTTGTCTGACAAATCTTCTAGAATTGTTCAACAAATCCACTAGATTTGACCGACAAATCCTCTAGATTTCCCAACAAATCTTCTAGATTTAAGCATCAAACCATCTAAATTTGACCGAAAATTTTTCTAGATTTGTCCAACAACTGTAGATTTGTCTGACAAATTCTTATAAATTTTCCGACAAGGCTTGACTTGTCCGACAAATCCTATAGATTTGACCAACAAATGCTCTAAATTTGATCGACAGCTTCTCTAGATTTTACCGTCAAATATTCAGAAATTGTCCCAAAAATCTCCTAGACTTATCCGACAAATCCTCTAGATTTTTCCTACAAATTATTTAGATTTGACCTACATATTTTCTGGATTTGTCCGGCAAATCTTCTAGATTTATTTGAAAAGTTTTCTAGGCCTGTCTGGAAAATTTCCTAGATTAGTTAGACAAATGCTCTAGATTTGTTCTAAAAATGCCCTAAACTTGACCGACAATTCCTCTAGATATGAGCAACAATTATCTAGATTTGTCCGACAAATCCTTTACATTTTGCCGACATTTGTTGATTCGTCCGACAAATTATCTAGATTTATTCGAACAAATATTCTGGATTCTTCCGAAAAATCATCTAGATTCAATCGACAAATCTTGTGTATATAACCGACACTTGTTCTGGGTTTGCCCGACAAATCCTCTAGACTCTCTCGACAAATACTTTAGATTTGATCGACAAATATTCTGGATTTGCTCGACAAATTCCTTAGATTTGACCGACAAACTCTTCAGATAAGATCAAAGAATATTTTGTATTTGTCATCTTTTAGATTTATTCGATTTTTTTCTAGATTTGTCCGACAAATGCTCTTGATATGATCGACAATTCTCTTGATAAATGCTATAGATTTCATTGACAAATTCTCTAGATTCGACCGACCAATCCTCTAGATTTGACCGAAAAATCTTTTTGATATATCCGACAAACCCTTTAGATTAACTGGATAAATCATTTAGATTTGACCGATAAATATTCTGGGTTTGTCCGACAAATCTTCTAGATGTATCTGAAATATTTTCTTTTTCTTCTCTAAAAAAATTTTTTCTCTAAATTTGACCAACAAATCCCCTAGATTTTACCGACAACTCTAGATTTGTCCAACAAATCCTTTCCGTCATATCATGACTAGTCCGATAAATCCTCTAGATTTGACCGATAAGTATTCTGTATTTGTCCGACAAATCTCTTAGACCTATCCGTTAAATCGTTTAGATTTTCTCTATTAATCCTCCACTCTTTTGGTTTGTCCGACACTCTGGATTTTTCCGACAAATTCTCTAAAATTGTACAATAAATGCTCTAGGTTTGTCTGGGGAAATTCTCTAGATTCAACCAAAAAATGCTCTAGATTTTACCGACACACCCTCTACATTTGACCGGCAATTTTTCCAGATTGGTCCGAGAAATCCTCTAGATTTTCTCGATAAATCCTCTACTTTTGCCCAATGTATCCTATGGATTTTACAAACGGATTGGATTGGCAAATGCTGTAGATTTGATCAACACATCCTTTAGATTTGATCGACAAATATTTTGAATTTGTCCGACAAATCGTCTATATTAATCCGAAAAATCTTTTAGGTTTATCCGAAAAATCTTCAAGATTTGTACGACAAATTCGATTGAAAAATCCTGAAGATTTGACAAACAAATCCTCTAGATTTTATCGACAACTCTAGGTTTGTCCGTCAAATCCTTTAGATTTTCCCGACATATCTTGATTTTTCCGACAAATCATCCAAAAAATGCTCTAGATAATGACACTGACATATTCTAGATTTTTCTGATAATATTCTGTGTTTGTCAAAAAAATCTCCTTGACTTATTCAGCTTATCCTCTAGCAAGATTTTTCCGAAAAATCCCCTTGCCCGGTAAATCCTCTAAATTTGACCGACAAATATTCTCGATTTTTCCGACAAATCTTCTTGATTTTACCGCCAAATGTTCTAGATTTGCCCAAAACTCTGGATTTGTCCGACAAATTCTCTAAATTTGACTGACAAACGCTCATGATTTCAATGACAAATCCTCTGAATTAGACTGGAAAATTCTCTAGATTTGACTGACAATTATAACGGATTTGTATGACATCTATAACAAATCCTCTAGATTTGCCCAAAAACTGCTCTAGATTTGTCCATCAAATCTGCCAGATTTGTCCAAAAAATCTTTTAGATTTATTCAACAAATTTTCTCGATATGTCCGACAAATCTTCTAGATTTGGCCATCAAATCTTAGATTTGTTCAACAAATCTTCTTGATTTGTCCAACAAACCTTCTAGATTTGTCAAAAAAAAAATCTAGATTTGTCCAACAAATCTTCTTGATTTGTCTAACAAATCTTCTTGATTTGTCTAACAAATCTTCTTGATTTGTCCAACATATCTTCTTGATTTATCCGACAAATCTTCTAGATTTTCCAAATCTTCTAGATTTGTTCAACAAATCTTCTAGATTTGTCCATCAAATCTTCTAGATTTGTCCATCAAATTTTTTATATTTTTCCAAAAAATCTTTTTTATTTATTCAAAAAATCTTCTTTTCCAGATTTATCCAACAAATCTTCTTGATTTGTCTAACAAATCTTTTAGATTTGTCCAACAAATCTTCTACGTTTGTTTAACATATACTCTAGATTTGACCGAATTATCTAGATTTTAACTACAAATGCTCTAGACTGAACCGACAAATGCTGTTGTTTTTTTCGACAAATCCTTTAGATTTGATCAACAAATATTCTGAATTTGTTCGAAAAATCTTCTAGGTTAATCTGAAAAATCATCTAGTCGGACAAATGCTCTAGATTCGACCGACAAATCTTCTTGAATTGACAAACAATTCCTCTAAATTTTACCGACTACTCTAGATTTCTCCGACAAGTCCTTTAGATTTTTCCAATATCTGGATTGGTCCGAGAAATTCTCAAGATTTGTCCTACAATTTTTCTAGATTTAACCGACAAATCCTCTAGATTTGACCAATAAGTATTCTGGACTTGTCCGATAAATCTCTTAGAATTATCTGACAAATCCTTTTCTTAATGAATCCTCTAGATTTGACTGACTTATTCTGTTATTCTGGTTTTGTCTCACAAATCTTCTGCATCTTCATCCAACAAATCTTCTATATTTGACCGACATATCTTCTAGATTTGTCCGAAAAAC